CTCGATTGCAAAACGAGTTCGCTTCCTTGAACCTATCGTGACCCGGTTACGGCTCGAACTCATGATCGTTTGAACTGCTGAATGCTATTAAATGACCGACAGATTCTCGCCATGCCATAATATCGTTTCCCGTTAGGAAATATGCCAAACATAAGTACATAAAAGGCAAGCTTAATCAGGTTCAGGATCATTCATTTCATTGGAAACATAATTGAAATAACGAAAAAAAAAATGTGCAATTTGTAACTTTCAGTTTTAAAACCAAAACCCAAGTCTATCAATAGCTCTATCCCATGTGCTCATACAAATGCTTATTAATATTTGCACTGTCAATTGCAATCAACCTCTGTGGCCCTCTTCTCATATTTAACTGTTAGAAAAACAAAACATTCCTGTACTGCTATAACTGGAAATATTACCACAAATGACACTTTTTATGCATTTTTGCCAAATCTCAACTCGTAACGCTACTTGCACTGTTGGTAGACGATATTATTTATTCTGTTATTTATAAACTGATTGTCACTCTGTCATTTGCAGGTCAATGTTAGATGCAAATATTTTAGTTTCTTAGTCAAATGTTGAGAAACAAACTTTAATTCACTCTAAATGAAACTAAACAATTAAACATATATCATTTTCAGAAAGAATGGCTTTAATTAAAATGATTGGCAAAAGAAAACAAATCACAAAAATACAAATACATAACAAAATATGCTGGTCAATCAATGGGTTAGAAATGACAAAAAAAGATGATGATAATAATAATAATAATAATATAAAAAATATCCACAACTCGCTGTATGTATAAAACTTGATTTTCCTTTTTCGAACTAAATAGCTTATCCCCCGGTACAAACACACATTTGGCGCAACTGCTGTCACTAAATTAGGCTACTACTTAAAAGTTGCGCATATTTTTTTAAAGCTGAAATTATAAACATGTGTTTGTGCCCCAGATTAGCTGGGAAAATTCAAAATATTTTTTTACGGGGTAAATCTGTTTTGTTCAATCACCATACAAATAAGGCTACAAGTATTAAATCCAACCCTAATATTTTGCACTCGTATAAACTCGTATTTAATTTATTGTATCCATGAAAAAACTGAATGTTTATTTTGTATAAGAAGTTTTTAGTCAAGACTACATGTCAGCATAAAGAAAAAATACGAACACTAAACAATTTGTGTTTATCTATCGACACGCGCTTATTATTGAGAATTGAGTATTTTTACCTCCTAGAATAGATTTTTTTTGAATATGAAAGTCTGTGTAACATTTCGCTTAAAACATTTGGATTCGAGAGGTTATTGACAAATTTCTGATTTATTTGAAAGAAAGAAACGCATACTAAAGCTGAACATAATATTAATATTATAAAATTTACCAGACAGGGATAAGCAAAAAAAAGAAGATTTTTTTCTTATTCTTGCCTGATAAATATTATTATATAATACACTGGAGTGTTATTCTCTTTTTATCACAAACCCGTGCCACCTAAATTTGCGACTCCGTATTATTAAGATTTTCATGTGACTTATATATGCGTTATAAAAAAACATAGCGTAGAGGGCCTACGCTATGTTTTTTATAACGCATATATAAAAAGACGCTCTAAAATTTGCGTCAATAACAGGAAAAAGATCAAACTAACAGTTCTTATGTTGGTTATGAGTTAAATAGACGATGTTGAATGAGTGTAGATTCAATAATGAATTTATTGAACGAGTTGTATACATATAATATTAGACTCTTTACCATTTAACGAGTTCAATAAATTAAGTTCTGAATATACACGAATAAATTTGTATAGATCTTTCTATCACTTTGCTACATATTTATCATATTATTGTTTTTTTCAGCTCTTTTTAGCCTATATTATTTAATTACATTTAAACGGTTCATCCCTTACAATATGTACTGTACATGTCACTACATGTATCTGTTGTATTGTCTTTTTCTCCTCAAATCTTACTATTTTTATCAATATTTTTCAGATTTATTAGATATACATGTTAGTAAATAGTTTTATGTCTATATTATCGTCACTAAATAACTTATTAGCTAATGTTTCTTGTAATTTGTAAACCGACTTAAAATAAAGCTTCTTGTATCTTGTAAATGTATATGGTCCACGGTGGTAACCACTGCGGATATTATCCGTATTTCATTTTGTTACCGTAATAAACGGAATATATACGAGTAACCTACTACTTTCGGTTTGGATATTGTTGTTTATTTCGTTGTGGGTTTTTGTTTTAGTAATTTTGTTAGATCTAAATTTCTCACAGTAAGTTCAATTATTTTATAGCATAAAAGCATTGCGCACTGATTTATATATATTTCGCTTACTTACCATATAGCAGGTAAGTATAATCATGTAATTTTCATAAGGCAACATGTTTTCGCGAACAAAATACAACAGCGATTATTTAAAATGTACAACGAAAACGATAGAAATAATACATATATAAATGTAATGCCACTTCAATAATTATAAGTCATTTGCATTTTCTTTTAAATGTGTTGGAAAATGCGACTTAATGCATTGAGGAAAGAGGATTAGACCAGTCTTATATTTGCTTGAAATCTATGGTATACAGTACGGATGATAATAATTATAAGGTGGAAAAAAATCTGCATATATATGTACTTTCAAAATCACCTTTCATTTTATTCCATTTCCGATATTTTTATGTCATTCATTTGCCCATCAATGCTGTACATAATTATTTTCCATGATCATTGTCAATTTTAAGGTTCATCTTCAAAATAAACAACACGGTATGCGAAATAAACTGTTTAACTTCAAAACTACCCTTATTTTACTCCATCAATAACCAAATCATATGGCAAATTGAAACAGGGCTCTTGGCTTTGCTGTATTCAAATGTAGTGCGTTTTGAATATGAGAACTAGCATATTCCTGAATGGTTCCAACTATAGCAATGCTGGTTCTCACCTTTAAAGTGTGACACAAGTTTACAAAGAACATGATTATGTATGTTGTTTATAAGATTGATTATGATTATAACCCAGAAAACATAAATTGTAACATAATGTACATTATAGTTTAGTGATATCTAGTTATACACATGTCTTTCTGATGCTTCTAATGTCAACAGGACTTATGGAGTAAAAAATAAAATAAAAACAACTTAAATAAGCTTTCTAAAGGTCACTATGTCAATTTTAGGTTACATCTTAATCCTTATTTTGTCATTCATGAATTTGTTCAATAGAAAGGATTGTTATGTTCTTTGTTGATTAACATGAAATTTAATGAATATTTGATAAGAAGATTGTTTTACTTTAAATCTTGCAAAACACTTGCATATTCTAAGTTACTATTATTTAATATAACTTCATCTTTGATTTCGTAATATGTTTTCAATACAATATACTCTGAATCTTTGTGATATGTTTGTCATTTACAGACGCAAGTTACAAGTTATCTATAGGAAGAATGGCAGAAGTTGGCACAGTAAGAAGAAGGCTAAGTATAGAAACTGAAGAAGATGATGATGAAGAAAGAGCTAAGGAAATCGAAGGTCTTAAAAAAAGAGGGATACTACCTAGTGACTTTCCTGTTGGAGCTGGGGACTTGGAAACATTTGATGAAAATGCTATGACACAGGAGGTGCAAGAGTTACTTACCCTAGGTGAAATATCAAAGGAAGAAGCAGATGAACTGACAAGTAAAGATAATCTTTGTAATGGGGTTTATGTTGACACAATTTCTGATCCCCATGTAGCTGACCATGAACAAATGATGCCACCTTTTGCAAGTGATGGTATTCCTCTAAATTGGTCAAGGGAGGTGAAAGCGGATAAAATATACAATCTAGTAAAACTTAAAAAAGGTGATCCAGAGTATGACCTTATATCAGATGAATTTGAAAAAGTGAATATAAAAATTAAGGGAATAGAGCGGTTACAGAGCAACAGATCATTGAAGAGATTTCAAGATGAATTAGAAGATGTGTTGCGACATAGAATTGAAAGTAAGACTAAAACTATATCGTTCTATAGTCACCTTAACAAACATGTATAAAGGTTTTAATTTTAAATGTTTATTATGTTGAAAATTTAAGAACTAACCTGCAGTTGTTTAGTGTATATACACCTTTTTCAGGAAAGTTTGGCTTGATGTCAGACTTGTCTCAAACAAAAGACTACTAATAAGTTATGTTAGCAAAGAGCTTTTGTAGCTTATGTACAAGTAGCTCTTTATATTAATATATATTGTATAAATTGTATGAACCTTTTGATTTCTAGTCTGACAGTCTTTAATTATAACTGGTCACAACTCTGGAAAAACAAAAGATCTTCATGTCAAAGTAAAATACCTCTTGATAAAGTTTTTAGTGAAATTAAAGGTAAAATTCCATTGCAAAGGGCTGTTATTGAAATACATGTACTAAACATAAATGATTTTGCATTTCTTCATACACTGTCAATGGTGATAAATTTTTGCATTGAGTATCTATGCTATGTTTGTACATGAGGATGTTTAATATTGCAGCGTATAATCCAAACATTAGATATTTATATCATGGAACAAGTGTTGAGAAGGACAGAATATGTGAGGAGGGACTAGATCAAAGATTAAGCAGAATGGGTTACTTTGGTAAAGGAATTTATTTCAGGTGAGTAGAGGAGCAATTTCGGTTATCGTAATTTCTGCTGGTTTAGCTCCAAAGGGAGAGCATCAATTTTGTAATGCAGGGAACCCCAGTTAAATCCTCTGGCAAGGGGTAATTTCTCTGTGACAATAGATATCAAACAAATTAATCTAATGGACATTTGTCTCTCACAGGTGATTCAGAAATCATGTGGGATATATAGTCGGTCACTTTATAATCTGGTTAGTTATCAGGAAAATTTGTTAGGTGGACCAACTGGTGAGATATATCCAAAAATGTTTAAATTGCCATAAAAATCAATCTATTTTGTATTTTCTATATTTCATTAAACAATTTATTTCTAGACTAGGTGTTGTGTATTTATAACCGTATGATGCTATCATGGATAATTTACAGCCACATCTTATGAAAATTTTATTTGACATCTGAGTCTGACATCATCACAGACTTATTGTATACAATATGATATAAATGTTGATAAATGGATGAAAAGAATGAAAATACACATCCTACATCTATCTAAATTGTCTAATTTCCTTTATGTTCATGCTTGTTTTAGAATAAAAGAAGGTGACCCGCTTGAAATGTTTATGTAATAATTAATGTAATACCAGATATTGTAATTTGTCAAAATTTGTGTATTGTTTATTTCAGTGATAATCCATTAAAATGTGTACATTACTCGGATGACCCAGCTAAAAAGAACCCAGATGAAGCCTACATACTCAAATGTAGAGTGATTCTTGGAGAACCAAAGGTACAACACTAATGATTCTAGTCCCCATTATTTTGCTGTGACGGACATTTGTTCCCAAGTAGATGGAACATACATGTAATAAACAATCAATTAGCAGTTTTTTCCCAGCAATTCTTTTCTACTCATTATCCTGAACTGTTTATAATATAGAAATATAAATTTGAATTGTGAAATAATACTTTAAAAGTTTATTAAACATTTTCTAAAAACAAAGATAAAGTGATAAACAACTAGGAAAATATAATGTTGAGCTTTCATTTTGCTTAATTGATTCTATATTTATACAACAAACATGCAAATGTCTGCTCTTCAGCATTTTAATAGGGTCGTGGGAGGGGGGCACACATGTTTGCCTTGACAGAAAAGAGGATGGGGTAATTGTTTTATGTCTATTTTTCTCAAGTTTGAAGATTTCTTGGAATATTTTGGGTCTAGCTTTAAATCAAAGTGAAATTTGAATGTTGAAAGAAAAATCTGGATACATTTCTATGATTAAGCCTTGTGAAATAATAAAAACATACACTTCTTCAGAGAAAGATTTAAATATTAGCTTAGAAGATATAAATAAAAGTGACACTGGAATTTGGAAAGAAAATGATCATAATTGATTATGACTAATAGCATTGATGATGTGATACTGTTTTACAGGTATATGCAAATGGTTGCTATGATACAACGCTGAAACGGGAACCAGAAAAACAGGATATCTCTGATGGTTGGAGATATTATGATTCAGTAGTGGTGAGATTTTCATTTTTTGTTTGTTAAGTTTTCTTAGAGCATACATTGTTATCAAACTATTATCTTGATTGTTAATTCGTTTTATTCATTTGTCCTCTTGAAATATTGTATTGAGGGATACCTTAGGTCTTCAACCACTAGTAAAGCTGGAAAGTTACCAAATGATGATTTAATACAGTGATGGTGTGACATAAAACAAAAGAAATAAAATGTGACCTACTGTCACAGTGTCAGTGACTTCAGACCAAACCAAAAGAAAAAAGTAGATGCTCCTGATCTTATATATATAAATATATGTTATAGATTTTATTTACATGTATCTTATTATAACAGGGATGTCCGAAGGATTTCAATGAGTATGTAGTGTATGAGAACAGACGTGCCATGATCGAGTATATAATCTCATTTAAAGTAGACAAGAAACTTATGACAGATCTGCGATCTCAATCGGTGAAGAAAGTATCAACTCAGGTTCAGAAAACTAGTGGTTGGTTTAAAAATCTTCTTTTTATTTACTTCTATTATAGTGCTCTATTTATACTCGGGCATAAAAATTATAAGAAATTAAAAAGTTTTTATCTCGCTGAATTTGTATGACAGACGTTAGAATTTTCTTTTACTTTTTAACTGTTCTTTTACTCTATTGTAATTTTAAAGCAGCATGCCTCTGCATTTGTGTTGATTATTATGAAAACATAAAAATTGCTCTGTGAACGAAAATGATTTCAAATGTACAAATTAAATTATTAAGCCCTGTCTATTTAACTTTTGATTATCCAGGAAGTTCTCTTATTCTAAAAATACATTTCTTTCATTTGTTCAAGTGTTCACAATGTTTTTATGCTTTTACATAAAAGGTTTACTACTTTGATGGGGGACTCTTGTTAAAGCATTAATTATCTGTGTTTTTATAAATATACAGGTACGTCAGGTAGACGGAATTCTGGAGCAAAGTCGCTAGACGATCATTTTGCTCGGATAGCTGAAGTACGAGAAGCTGTGAGAAAAAAGCGGTTAGAGGAAGCTGGCAAATCATACATCCCTCCTTCACAGGTAAACATACATCCCTCCTTCACAGGTAAACATACATCCCTCCTTCACAGGTAAACATACATCCCTCCTTCACAGGTAAACATATATCCCTACTTCACAGGTAAACATACATCCCTACTTCACAGGTAAACATACATCCTTCCTTCACAGGTAAACATATATCCCTACTTCACAGGTAAACATACATCCCTACTTCACAGGTAAACATACATCCCTCCTTCACAGGTAAACATACATACTTCCTTCACAGGTAAACATATATCCCTACTTCACAGGTAAACATACATCCCTACTTCACAGGTAAACATACATCCCTACTTCACAGGTAAACATACATCCCTCCTTCACAGGTAAACATACTTCCTTCCTTCACAGGTAAACACACAGGTAAACATATATCCCTCCTTCACAGGTAAACATATATCCCCCTTCACAGGTAAACATACATCCTTCCTTGACAGGTAAACATACACCCTTCCTTCACAGGTAAACATATATCCCGCCTTCACAGGTAAACATATATCCTTTCTTCACAGGTAAACATATATCCCTTCTTCACAGGTAAACATACATCCCTCCTTCACAGGTAAACATATATCCCTCCTTCACAGGTAAACATACATCTTTCCTTCACAGGTAAACATATATCCCTCCTTCACAGGTAAACATACATCCTTCCTTCACAGGTAAACATATATCCCTCCTTTACAGGTAAATAAGATGTTGAGATTATGTTAGAAAGCAGCATAAAGTGGCAGAAGCTACACAACTCTTACCTCCTCAAATTAAATCATAGAAATTTCTTCCCCATGGTCATGTGCAATGAAATTTTACTATAAGCATAAATAATGATAATGTTACATAGATTTTTAGTTTTACAAGTTGATAAAGGAATATACAGGAGAATATAGCATGAATGAGATAATATAACTTGAGGCACTCTGATATTGTAAATTTTCATTGACGACTAGTTCATGAAATACCCCAGCAACTCTCAACTGTTTTCATTAAAGCATGGAAAAGACCCACATAAAGAATATGACAACTGCAAATGCTGAGCAAAAAAAAGTAAAGTATAAAGTTGTCATTTTGTTGTAACTTTTAACTGTTAAAGTTATGGGTATATGCCATTAAGAACAAAACACAACAAATTTTATGCTCATGTGTATTGTCACGATGAAATGATATTCCGGAGCCTTCCATTCTTCACTACATTTATGTAAACTACATAGTATACAAGTATACAAAGTGTTTAAGCCAATCAAAATTTTAATAATTAAAGATATGAAGTTATTATTTTTGAATCATGGGCATGTATTGTAAAGGCTGAGCTATTATGATTGCTGTTGTTGTCATTGTTGTTTTGTCATTGTGCTTTATGGTAGCCTATTATTCAAACATTTTATAAGTCATTAACATGAAACTGCAGTTGTTAGACAAGGGGCATAATTCTGAAAGTTATATTTTTATAGTTATTTTTATAGTTTTTGGAGTTATGCCCATTTTTAACTTTGATTATTTTATTAAAATTGGTTGCACTTAACAGACACTGCATGTGATGGTCTAAGACTTCCCAAAAATTAAAGAAAAGTGTCAGACATTCAGTCTGACAAACCATGAAAATCTGTCAGACTGAACAAAAATCTGGCAGATCGAAGGAAAACTTGTGTTTGTATTTCTAAGACACTTTTAGGTTTTAATTTTTTCGCCGTAAAAATCAGCACAGTCCGTACAGCTCATTTTCATCTCCTCCCTGTCATACACCAACGATTCACGGTCCTGCTTCCATTTTTTCATTAAATTTTGTCTTTTCATCCTTTGACTGCTGTTCTGCGCACCCCTCTGACATAGATTTTCATTTTTTCCAATGTTTGGCACCTTTAGCGACGCCATTTCATATTCATGCGACTTGGATAAAAGCCAGACAGTCAGACCGATCTGGAATAAAAATCGTCGGACATAATCAAATTTATAGGGCATGTCCGTCGTATTTCGGAAAGTCTGTGCTCTTGTTATAATTTTACATTGATGCATTATAATGTTACCTTATAATATTTATATCCTTTCATGATGTTAGTACAATGTATTCTGATATTTTTCCTTTGCCAATTTTTTTAATGTTACTATTTTGATTGGTTTTTTTTACATTGCCTCCCCTCCTACAATGTAACTTTTCTACATGTATATAATATTTTTACGTAGCCCTGTCCTATAATGTTTCCTTTCTATATCATATTTTTACATTGCCCTGTCCTATAATGTAACTTTTATATATCATATTTTTACATTGCCCTGTCCTATAATGTACACTTTTATATATCATATTTTTACATTGCCCTGTCCTATAATGTATCTTTTATATATCATATTTTTACATTGCCCTGTCCTATAATGTAACTTTTATATATCATATTTTTACATTGCCCTGTCCTATAATGTAACTTTTATATATCATATTTTTACATTGTCCTGTCCTATAAAGTAACTTTTATATATCATATTTTTACATTGCCCTGTCCTATAATGTAACTTTTATATATCATATTTTTACATTGCCCTGTCCTATAAAGTAACTTTTATATATCATATTTTTACATTGCCCTGTCCTATAATGTAACTTTTATATATCATATTTTTACATTGCCCTGTCCTATAATGTAACTTTTATATATATCATATTTTTACATTGCCCTGTCCTATAATGTAACTTTTATATATCATATTTTTACATTGCCCTGTCCTATAATGTAACTTTTATATATCATATTTTTACATTGCCCTGTCCTATAATGTAACTTTTATATATCATATTTTTACATTGCCCTGTCCTATAAAGTAACTTTTATATATCATATTTTTACATTGCCCTGTCCTATAATGTAACTTTTATATATCATATTTTTACATTGCCCTGTCCTATAATGTAACTTTTATATATCATATTTTTACATTGTCCTGTCCTATAAAGTAACTTTTATATATCATATTTTTACATTGCCCTGTCCTATAATGTTACTGTTGTATATTTTAATGCAGACGCAGCAGGAGCATGACAAGGATATGTGGACTAGATTACAGACACTACATCAGCTTGGTGATAAACATAATTCTGAGGTAAATGGGAGTTAACTTTACCATATTTAATACAATAAAACATGTTGCTATAATTGCCAAGAGGTTTAAGGTTGATGACTTTGAATGGCTTATCTCTTATGCTACTATTTCAGATACTGCAAGGGACTTAATTATGGTCTTTAAAAAATATGTACAATAATCTACAACAAACTTTGACTTCTTTTGATAAAAGAAATTTTTGATTCTGATAAAGCCTGTGTATCTGAAAGAATATAATAATTAAATAAAAAAAAAAACAACATCAAAAGACTGACAGTTTTGAGAAAGTTATATATTTTATATTCAGATATTTTTCACCCTTCCCCTGCTAAATTTTTCTAATGCACTGATCCAGCTTTAAATGTGGTACCATCCATTTTTATTACAGGGATTTTTATATCATTGTGTTGAAAGTAAGCACAGCCAATACAATACACCTGGTCATATTGTACGGTTCTATGTTGGCAGCAAGGGGAAGTAATTTATGTTGGCTAGCATTGAGAGAGTTATGGTTCTTGTATTGTTTCAGGGTTATGAAGAGCCTGGTAAAGACATGGAGAGGGAGCTTAATGAACCTGAAGTTGACAATGATATTCCACCACCGGTATTCTCCAAGCTATATCAACCTGCTAGCAACAGTACGATCTGTATTTGTTAAGATATTTTATCATTATTTGTATAGTCTATTACACATGTATTGACTCATTTTGTATGTCTTTAATATAATCAGACAAAAATCTAACTTTTATGAAATAAATCATGAATTATTTATAATGTTAAATATTAATGCAGCGGACAAATGGATGTCTTTTAAAAGTACAAGTAATAATTCAAGATAAAGTTTGAATGTGACGTTTAAGAAACATTAAAACATGTTTAAATAACATGAAGTCATGTTTTAGCAATGTAAAGTCCTGTTTTTCAACATTAAATTTATTATCAACATCAACTCATATTTCAACAATATAAAGTCAAGTTTTATCAAAATGAATTCATGTCTTATGGCAACATAAAGTCATGTTTTATCAACATAAAGTTATGATTTAGTGATATAAAGTCAATTTTTATCAATATAAAGTTATGTTTTATTGATATAAAGTCATGTTTTATCAATATGAAGGCATACTTTATTGATATAAAGTCATATCTTATCAACATAAAATCATGTCTGATCAAGATAAAGTCATGTTTTATCAACATGAAGGCAAACTTTTTCAAAATAAAGTTATGTTTTATCAATATTAAGGCATGCTTTATCAAAATAAAGTCATGTTCAGCAATGCCTACTTTAGTCTGATCAACTCAAGTTTTAACAAAATGTTATGTTATATCATTAACTTGCTTCTTTTCAACTTCATATGGTATATTTAACAACATCAACCAATAATTTATCAAAACTATATGTTTCAGGGAGTGTAAAATCTGACAAGGAGGAATCACAAGAGGCTGTAGAGAAAGTGTTAAACTGTTGTATAGCTGACTTTTTGGCTGTAACTGATATAGATGACAACAGACTAGCACGATATTACGTGCAGAAAGCCAACATGGATGTCAACCGAGCAATATCTTTATATTATGAGGATTTAGGATAATATTTGTTAGCATTCCATTGTTTTCTTGCCATGTGATATTTACTGCAGTATTTATTGAGTACAATATATTTTGTATTTTTAGATACAAAGTTATATAATTTGATTGGGAAATAGATTTTAGTATTGAGTGCATTATTGTAAACTACGAGTATATGTATAATATTGCACTCAAAATAAAATAACAAGGACATAAGCTTAAGTGATTTAATACAAATGGTAAGAACAAGGAATGGTGCAATATTTAGGAAATAGAGTTATTTTTGATTGTGTTATTGTAAAATAATGAATTATAGTTCAAGTTAAAATGTGCAAAGTTAAAATGTGCAGTAATATTGTGGTAGCCTTTGTGATTGATTACAAAAGCATTTGAACGATACACCATTTATTTTATTATTATATTAAAATTTAGAAAAATTGATATCTATCTCCATTCTAGCAGTCTACTAAAGAATATGTTGACCTATATTGAGCAGAGTGATAATTTTGCTGACATTATTTCGTTAATTACCATCATATCTGATGCTGTGTAGTTTACAAATATTCCTTTCCTTACTATAGAAATAATAGGAACTATTTCTAACGTTAAGGTCTTTGCATTGCCCTGACAATCAATACTTATTTTATTTGATTTTTAGTTTAGTAAATTTATATCTATGTTATATTGTTTTTACATAAATTATAGTAACTGTAGTGGTTACTTAAATATTCAACAATAGCTGTAGGTACTAGTTAAGGTCATTGACTTTAAATCATATACCTCTCACTATTGAGAGTTTAAATCCCATCAGGAAATTTAGATTGACATCATGTGGGGAAACCATCCATCAAGCTTACACAAATTTGATTGTTCTGCTCGAAATCCAGTCTGTGCTCAGAATAATGTATACGAGGGAAGGTATCTGAGGTCTACCTCAACAACTAAAACTGAAGTGGCAGCATGGCTAAGTGGTTAACACTTCGAGTAGTAATCTAAGGATTGCTGGCCATATGCATTCAAACCCTGTCAGAAGTGAGCCTTTGTTTGCTGACACTTATTTCTTTGTGCGCCTAAACAAATTAAAGAAAATAAATTATTGTATAAACTATGTAAAACAAGAATGTCACCTTTGACCTTTACACTGTTGGTGTCACTTTAACCAAATTTTTTACAACCCACATTTTTTTAAAAATATTTAAAACCAGGTAATATAGGATCAAAAACCTAGTGAATTGATGAATGCAGATGATTTGAACAAAAATTATATAAACGATCAAAATTGTATGACTTTAAGTTTATATTTTCTTCAGTAGCTCTTGTTCTAATCAATGATTTTTATAACATGCAAATAATTGTTTGATATTAAAATGTACGAGGATTAAGGATATTGAATGATATTGACAACAGTTCTGTTAATAAAAACAACAAATTGTTGATTGGTTATTTACTTTAATTTTTGTCCTGGTCATTTCTCCTCAAGTATGAAAGCTATGGACTTGAAACATCATAGAATGATAGATCTTATTGATAAGAAGTGCAGTGCACAGAAACTGCTGCTCTGCACTTATTATTTTTTTAGTTATTGCCCTTTGTTATTTTTCATATTTCATTTTTGTCCTGGCCATTTCTCCTAAACTACATTGTTCACAAGGCGACACATCCGACTCGCGGAGTTCTAGTTTTATTATTGTATTAAAATTTAGAAAAATTGATATCTATCTCCATTCTAGCAGTCTACTAAAGAATATGTTGACCTATATTGAGCAGAGTGATAATTTTGCTGACATTATTTCGTTAATTACCATCATATCTGATGCTGTGTAGTTTACAAATATTCCTTTCCTTACTATGGAAATGATAGGAACTATTTCTAACGTTAATGTCTTTGCATTGCCCTGACAATCAATACTTATTTTATTTGATTTTTAATTTAGTAAATTTATATCTATGTTATATTGTTTTTACATAAATTATAGTAACTGTAGTGGTTACTTAAATATTCAACAATAGCTGTAGGGGCATAGGTTGCTGACTAGTTAAGGTCACTGACTTTAAATCATATACCTCTCACTGTTAAGAGTTTAAATCCCATCAGGAAATTTAGATTGACATCATGTGGGGAAACCGTCCATCAAGCTTACACTTATTTGATTGTTCTGCTCGAGATTCATTCTGTGCTCAGAATAATGTATATGGGGGCATGTATCTGAGGTCTACCTCAACAAGTAAAACTGAAGTGGCAGCATGGCTAAGTGGTTAACACTTCGAGTAGTAATCTAAGGATTGCTGGCCATATGCATTCAAACCCTGTCATAAGTGAGCCTTTGTTTGCTGACTAAGAAACTTTACACTTATTTCTTTGTGTCGGTTAGTTCCAGAAACAGAGAGTGTGTTATATAAGCTTATAGATTCCCAAACAAATTTAAAAAAAATAAATTATTGTATAAACTATGTAAAACAAGAATGTCACCTTTGACCTTTACACTGTTGGTGTCACTTTAACCAAATTTTTTACAACCCACAATTTTTTTAAAAATATTTTAAACCTGGTAATATAGGATCAAAAACATAGTGAATTGATGAATGCTGATGATTTGAACAAAAATTATATAAACGATCAAAATTGTATATGATAATCTTGTTATTAGTACGACTATAAGTTTATATTTTCTTCAGTAGCTCTTGTTCTAATCAATGATTTTTATAACATGCAAATAATTGTTTGATATTAAAATGTACGAGGATTAAGGATATTGAATGATATAGACACAGTTCTGTTAATAAAAACAACAAATTGTTGATTGTTTATACATCTGATTGTTGCTATTTTGTATTAAATTAATGTTGCCAATTGTTTATACATCTGATTGTTGCTATTTTGTATTTAATTAATGTTGCCAATAAAAGGTTTTGTATACTGTATAACTAAACAGAAAAGAATTGTTGAGACATATAGTTTGCATTCCATAATATTGTTCATTAAAGAATATTGTTTAACACTTTGACTGCTGGTGGTTGACTGAGTCTACCTATTCAGCCAGTGCAGACCAAGATCAGCTGGCAGGTTCTGCTGTCTGATCATTGCCTGCACTGTTGTTATCTAGTCAGTTCATATTTTAAAATATTCACTAAAAATGATTGATGGTTAAGTCCATATTGAAGTTAGTCAAGTCCATTTAAAATATTAAGTGTAATAAGGGTAAAAATTTAATTAGTTATATTACATATCTGTAGTACATACATATACATTATATGATCTTATTGGTTTTACATGTATTGGCGTGTAATGAAACTGTCTCTGAGCAAATCATCTACTTTAAACATTTTAGCAGACAAGTTTGATGAAATTTTTCATCATATGACATATGTTAAATAATATGTTTTGCTGTTTTGAACTTGTTTTAGAATATTGTTTTAATCTGTTAAATAACTACATGTACAATGTACGTTATTCATGTGATAAATTACAAATTTAAAACGTTTTATGTCACAACTCTGCTGAGAATCAACAATAAAATTATGGAAAACAAAGTTATCTTACTGTTTATAGATTTCATTATAATATTTAGTAGTTGTTATAACCTTTACCATTAAGGAGATTATATTATTTGTTGACAATGATCAAATTGAAATTGGATTTTAAGTGTTTGTTTACCCCTAACAGGCTGCTGGAACAGAAATTGATAAGCCAGGCTTGTCTGTATAAATCCTTGCAGTTTGAACAGACTCTATACTATTAGTTGCTCAATTTGTTTAGATTTTGAAATCCCTGCATTCTCTTCAAAAAAATATATATACTCACTAATTCCGCATCATCACTTATTTCACGGTAATGGCATATTTTCATGTGACCAGTGCTAAAATTGGTCAGAATTGACGTATTTTATTCATACAAACAAAGATTAAACAACAAAGATTTTGTGCAAAATATTTTAAATCTGTAGATTTTTACATAAAACAGAACAACATTTTAAAACTTCTGCAAAAAGCAACAATAGTCTATTAAATTTGTGCATACATGTATGTCTGAAACAATCATCATTTTCTAAATGTTCTTGTTTGTTGAGTTACAATGTAAAGATACTAGATACTTTTAAAGTGACATAATGCCCATCCAAGGGTATATAGTGAGTGAACGGGTGAAAGTCAAAATAAGTTTTCATTTTGGCATAATTCCTTTTAATTTAATAATTAAGTTCGCATAAACAATAAATAACTCACAGATCCAAACGAAATTTCTGTAAATATCCATTAGAATTTACCTATAACGCTTAGTTTATAAAAAGAGTGGGGCAGTCTTTTTAAATTTTAGACAGATTTATAATTTTATCCTAAACATTTTCCAATATCAACTGTTGGTCAAACACCATTTTGACAGTCAATCTTTTCAAATATAAAGTCAATTCAGCTCAACTTGACCATGAAAATATGAGCATAATGTCACTTTAATATTCAAAATAATGCAAAATAACATGTAAAAATTTTAAATGAAACATGAAAAAACTGAAATAAAGCACCATTACCGCGATTTAAATGATAATATACTGTTTTCAAAATGGCCGACATATGGTCTACGTCTGGCTCATTTAAAGTGATTTTGACTACATATATTGTTGTTTCCTTGTGTCATATAGCAGAAAATACCTATATGTGACAGCTTATGACAATTTTTGTAGATCTACCATAAGTTTTATGTGTTGTTTTCTTTCTTGCTTTAAAGCGTTAAGTACCGTGAACTAAGAGGAGCACAGTATAACACAAACTTGGCAGATTCATTCATTATTATTTGAGAGAAATATTGTAAGTCCGCTTAAAGTACAGCTACAGATATATAAACAATCTTATATTTAGCTCCATGGTACAGCATAAGAAGAATGCACAAAATAATATTGTCAAATTACAGCCTTCTGTCATCAGCAATATGGCCTCTTTCTTTCATTTAATGGAGAAAAACTTGCACTTGATCTACTTAATACGTGTTTGTATTTGTTTTATCATTTTGCGCGATGTCATTGATGATTCATTCACAGGCTGAAAAATGTGCCATTGTGACGTCGGGAACAGAATGACGTCAAATAACGCCGTCATTGAGTCTTTTGGAAATATTCTTTGGAATCAACTGTTATGAATTCAAATGCCGATTTTTGTTTATCACATGAAGTCCTGTGATTTTTTAATTAAAATAAATTTGATATTAATAGCTATATTTTCTGAAAAATAAAAAATAAATAAATCTCGTTCTCGTATATACATACGTTATTTGACGTCGTCGCCGTGGTACTAAATGACGTTCGTTATGTTTGGGCGGAAATAGGTTGACAAGGAGCAGACGACAAATTTCCGGGGGAGTTTTAGTGTACAATTTAATTAAAAACACCAAAAAAATCGTGATGGAGTGGGAGGAGTCACCAACGAGCAGTTGTGAAACATTAGAGAATAAGTATAGTTTACAATCTTGTAATATTTTAAATGAATTACGAAAATCTGGCCAACTGACAGATGCAGTCATCAAAGTTGAAGACCAGATCGTTCCTATTCACAGAGCTATCCTGTCCGCATGTAGTCCATACTTTAGGGCTTTGTTTACAAATGAATTGTTTGCTACTAATCGAAAGGAAGTTGTTATTCCCGGTGTCAGTGCAGATATTATGAAGTTGATAGTTGATTACGCGTACACCCGACAAGTTGATGTGAACGCCACCAATGTGGAACTTTTGCTGCCAGCAGCCGACCAGTTCCACGTGAACGGGATAGTCAAAGCTTGCTGCGACTACTTAGCTTCACAAATGGTCTATGAAAACTGCATAGGAATTTACAAGTTTGCCAAGAGTTACTTCTGCCACAATTTGGAACGCATTAGTTTCCGCTTTCTCATGCAGAATTATTGTAAAATCAGCGCGCACAGTAATGAATTCCTACAGTTGACCGCCGATGAGCTGGCTGAATTACTCAGCCGAGATGAGCTCAATGTCAAGAATGAAGAGCTGGTTTTCGATTCTGTCCTGCGCTGGATTGATTACGACCCTGAACGCCGCAAAGGCAGTATGGCGAAGCTTTTAAGATCCATACGACTTGGACTTCTGTCCACCCAATACTTTGTGGAAAAGGTTTGTTCTTGTGGTTCTTTATTCTTCAAGTATACATGTATATACATCTACATTTTACTGCTGACCAATCATATTTGGCTCAACTTGTATAAAATATATATAGTGAAATAGTAAAATAGTTGACACAATTTAGATTTCTGAAAATAAAGATATTCTGTTATATATATAATATGTGGGTAAAAATTACCGATACTTTACAATTTCAAACATTGTTTTCCATAGTTTTGCATATTTGGTATTTATTTAGAGATTTGATACATCTGTTAAACATTATATTATGTTAATTTATCAAGGTGAAGCCTCACCCATATGTAAAGGAGTCGGAGAATTGTAAACCAATTATCATCAACACCCTCAAGTTTCTGTATGACCTTGACATGGACAGCAAAGATGAGGTAACTTGTATATGTAATCTATCTTATACATCTACTTAATTAATCTAGCTTTACATCTATTTCACCTAATTATGATGTTTTTTTACATATTAATTATTTAAATTTAAAAAATGAATTATGCTCATGTTTTCCATTTTTTTCTTAAGATAAATTTTGATATAAAACTTGTTAATTATTGAAGATATATTTGCCTAGGGATAAATACGGTCTACCAGTATTTCAAACGGATACAAGATACAATCTAATAATAAATTTTGCCACCTTTTGATGTTATTATACACTTATATGTATTTGATTTAAACAAAATCTGCTGGTCAACAATTTAGGTTGATGCAGTGAACCCACTGGCCCGGCCCAGAGTGCCACACGAGATACTATTCGTGGTAGGGGGGTGGAGCGGTGGCTCACCTACCAACATTGTGGAGACATACGACACGAGAGCTGATAAATGGATCATCTGTGAAGCTATGGACACTGGTCAGTTTAGCTTGTTCATTTTGTTATTTTGGTGAAGATGTCTTTCTATACTCAGTTCAGAAATCATTTCATTTCTTTCGCGGCTATGTACGAATTTAAATACCAATCCCCCCCCCCCCAAAAAAAAAAAAAAAAAAAATAAAATAAAATATAAATAAATACATGTAACTAAATAATTTCATCCCATCAGTAGCATGTTATTCTATTTAATTATAACTTATTCATTATTCATAATATAATATAAAAGTACATGTACTCAAAATGACAACATTATTTTTCATGGAGTTAAACATTATTGGAAAAGTTAATTTGTTGTAAAATCAAAATGAAAAGAATTATTTTACTCTATATTGTTACAGGTCCTCGTGCCTACCATGGTACCGCGTGCCTTGGCAACGTTATTTACATCGTGGGTGGTTTTGATGGAATGGAGTATTTTAATTCTGTACGATGCTTTGACCCCGTCTCTAAATCCTGGGCAGAGGTTGCCCCGATGAACGCTAAAAGGTAGATAATTCTCTTTTTATTATCTCAAAAAAAAAAAATGTTATCGCGATTCTTTTTTTCTTGTATTATATTTTATGATTTACGTAAAAAGTCAATGGCGTTGTGCATTTATGAAATATAGGTTAAATAGATGGATCAACTTTTTACCAATTTATGATAATTATGTAAAGTGGCTATATTTCATTTTAATACAGATACTTACGATATATTTATTATTTGTAAAGTTTTGTTTTTCTTAAGAGGAGATGGGTTTTTTTTTCTTCATTTTTTCTTCTTCAGAACTTTAAAATTTTCATTATCTGTATTTCAGATGTTATGTGAGTATAGCAACCCTGGATGGTCTGATATATGCTATGGGAGGCTATGATGGTCACAATCGTCAGAACACAGCTGAAAGATATTTCCCAAAGAAGAATCAATGGTCTCTCATTCAACCAATGACCCACCAGAGGAGTGATGCCAGTGCTACATCTCTAGCAGGTACGTCACATACATTTGTATCTATGTCGTCTGCTTCTAAAAGCCATTTTGAATGTTTAGTATTCCGACCTACAAATTACGGTAGTAACTTAATAAACTGATATTCAATTAGAATCTACGATTACATGAAATACCTGTATTATGGGACAGAAAATTTGCATTTGTTACACAATACAATACTTTACAATTGAATAAAGCAGAAGATGAATATCGCTCTAACGTTGACTTTGTTTATCAGCATACTTGAATATTGAAAAGGTATTCATTTTGAGCTGTAAAACAGTAGCAACATTAATTTAGATATACGAACTAAACATATATTTATCTTCAGGAAAGGTATATATTTGTGGAGGCTTCAATGGACAAGAGTGCTTACTGAACGCCGAGGCTTATGACCCTAACATTAACCAGTGGACAATGATTGCCCCCATGAGAAACAGGAGAAGTGGGGTCGGCATTATTGCATACAGGTAAACCATTTCTTACTTTATTTTGATATTCTGTCCTTTTTTGTACTATTTCTTACTGAACTATGTAAAAAGGTGAAAAAAGCTTACTTTCTGGCTTATAATATATTTTTGTTGTTTCCATGCTCATTATTATTGTTAACCAGTCTGAAGATTTGGAGTAAGTTAAAATCAAAATATAACTTTTAATATAAGAATAGGCAAGTTTTCATTCCTCCAAGGTTAGGCCGATAAGCCAGGCTTGCCTATGGACGACATAACAGGATGGCCTGGCGCTATACATGACTGTGTCAAATGTCGTCAAGGCAGGCTGGCCTAGCCCTATATGAACCACCTAACATGACTCTGGCTCTATATATGTGTCGTTTGTCGTCAAGGCAGGCTAGACAAACTCTAAATTCCTAACGCAACAGGACGGTCTGCTCTATACATGTGTATAGTTCTATATATATATTAAAAGTATTGTGTCGATAAGGCAAGCTAGCCTTAAACAAAATGAACGACACAATTAATTGGATTTATATTTTATAGTGTCATATGCCGGCAAAAATGACTGGTTTTGCTCTAAAAAGTTGTATATATCGACAAGGTAGACTGGCCTAGCTCTACATATATGAGGCATGTGTCGAGAAGGTAGGCTTGCCTAGCGCTTTTCATATGTGGTATATGTCGATAAGACAGACTGGCCTAGCTCTACATATATGAGGTATGTGTCGAGAAGGTAGAATTGCCTAGCACTTTTCATATGTGGTATATGTCGATAAGACAGACTGGCCTAGCTCTACATATATGAGGTATGTGTCGAGAAGGTAGAATTGCCTAGCACTCTTCATATGTGGTATATGTCGATAAGACAGGCTGGCCTAGCTCTACATATATGAGGTATGTGTCGAGAAGGTAGGCTTTGCCTAGCACTCTTCATATGTGGTATATGTCGATAAGACAGACTGGCCTAGCTCTACATATATGAGGCATGTGTCGAGAAGGTAGGTTTGCCTAGCACTCTTCATATGTGGTATATGTCGATAAGACAGACTGGCCTAGCTCTACATTCATGAGGTATGTGTCGAGAAGGTAGGTTTGCCTAGCACTCTTCATATGTGGTACATGTCGATAAGACAGACTGGCCTAGCTCTACATATATGAGGTATGTGTCGAGAAGGTAGAATTGCCTAGCACTTTTCATATGTGGTATATGTCGATAAGACAGGCTTGCCTAACTATCTGTATGTGTCATACGTCGAGACAACAGTTTGGTGTAGCTGTAGACTACTGTATGTATATGTATACTATATGTATACATGTATTTCCATCGTCACTAGAACTTAGAGCTATAACAACACTATATTTGTTATTACTTATAGGGATCATATATTTGCACTCGGTGGTTTCAATGGTATCTCTCGAATGAACACAGGAGAGAAGTATAATCCTGCGAAGGACAGCTGGACCAGTCTACCGGAAATGTACAGCCCAAGATCGAACTTTGCTGTGGAGGTCAGTTTTACAGTTTACTGTTATTTTAATTAATAGGGGCATATTTGATGTGGGTAAAAATACATGTAAAAAGTTTTTTTCTTTATTTTATTGATTTGGATGTATGGAACGATTATTTTTTGTCAGATTTAAGCCAACATCTTGTGCTTTAAAAAATGTACTTTTCATCTTGTACTTTTTAAGTATTAATTCATGTAAGGAAAACCTTTCAGCCTATTAAAAGAAAGCTGACTTTTTTATATATGATTCACTTCATACATTTTTTTTCTAAGATATGTCAGTTAAGTTGAAAGTTTTTTGATTTTCATCTTCCGTAATCTGTAATTCATAAGTATCTTCTAACAGTAACTAAGTTTCATTTTCACGTTAGGTTCTGGATGACATGATATTTGCTATTGGCGGTTTCAATGGAATGACCACTATTTTCAATGTAGAATGTTATGATGGTACCACAGATGAATGGTGAGTTATTTATTCTTTCTACATTCTTTCCTCAACATTTCTTCAATTTCTTTCATATGAACTGAATATTTTCTCTCGTTTTATACTCATTCATTCTTCCTTTTGCTCACTTATTCCTTCTCCCCATTTCTTAATAATTTAATTTAATTTCTGATATATAACTGCTACAGTAGATATCATTTTCTTGAAGACCCATCATGGTTTATAGAAATATTTTGCATTTCCTAATTTTTCCCGATTTGAAAATCAATAAGTGATCGTTCTTTCTTTTATCCCGGATCTTTACAGTTTTTTTTCCCGTACGTTTTGAATACTGGATGAACACATAAATAAATCCGGGTTCATTTTATAACTTTTAAAAAGATTTTCACTTGACACCATATTTATACTTATATAGGTATGACGCCACCGACATGAATTTATACAGAAGTGCACTTAGCGCATGCGTGGTTACCGGGTTACCGAACGTCTATGACTATCTACACAGGGACCGAGATAAAGACGTCATCGAGAAGAAAAGAGCAAGAGCACAAAACAATGCCGAATAAATTTAATATTTTAGAATGTTACGAACAAAATTATCTTAAAAGGCACATTTAAAATATTTATTTTTGGCAACATTATTTTCTAATCTTATATTTTGAAGTATTTGAATATCTATTTTGTTTATTTTTTTTTTGGAAGTAACACTTTACATCGGAAGTATTTTTATGAAAAAAGTCATTAAAACATGGAACAATAAACTAATATGTGTTATGTCGTCATGTAAGTTTATGCATTTTATATTTTAGAAATCCTCCCTATGCGACATGATTAACATTCCGAAAATTTAATGTTACACCAAAACTATATTTAACCGAAAAAAGTACAAGTTTGTGTGTAAGTTTGAATATATATTTTGCCAAATATATGGCATAACAATTACAATGTAATCCTTGTTTAAACTAAATGACTGATGTTAAAGGAACTCCACTGATCGAGGTCCAAAAGACTAAAAACTTAAAATTTGATTTTCTTACATAGACCAGCTGGGGCAATAATTCATTCTAAAGAACATTAAGAAATATACGCTGAAATAAATTTGAATTCGTAATTTTGTGCTACACTTAGCCCGATTTAAGTGAAACGCATTGAATCTCTTTTTCAATTTTGGTCGATTCTTTCAATTATAATATTTGTTATTGAAAAACAGAGTGAGTGAATAATGTGAAATTTTGCACGCAAGTTTATTATTGGTCTAGCATTAATTGGAACATTAATCTCGAAAAAAGATATTTTCAACCTCGTCTTGTGGAAAGACCTCATTTTCTAACAAGAATGGGCACTTTTTCCTTTATTTGATTAGAGTTTTTAGACAAAGGTGCAATTACAGTTCTGCGTGCATAATAGCTTGGTGTTTTTATAATCTGTTGTGATGTACAATTTATATTGTTTTTTCTATAATCTATAAACAAAATTTGATATTATTCTTGCTACGTAAGCTATAATAATGGCAATTTCTACTGTAAAATATGTTGCGGCTAAATCCAAAAACGAAACTAGCGTTGACATTGTGTAACATCAAAGCGACTCGGACATGTGAAGATGTTAATCATTTTTTCACAAATGAAGTAGTTCTTTTCTGGATAATCACAGTTAGTATTTATCCATTTGTAGCCATGATATTTTGAGAGTGAGATGTGGTGGTCTTTATCTGATGAAAACAGCTTTAGCGTTGCCCCAAAACTGACTGGTCGGGGGTAATGGCTCTTGTAACGAGGTTGTCCACTGATTAGGGTCAAACGGGACTCCAGGAACTTCCGTCTATCCGGTAGCTTCCATTTCCTATGTAATCTAAATAAAATATACAGCATTTCATTAATCATGGAAATAAAATTTAAGAATTGCTCTCATAATCACAATCGAATTCCCTTTTGACAAGTCAAATAGAATATTAAACTTAGACGTTAAGTATTACATTATATATCACCATACTTCTACTGCGTTACTAACGTATTGATGGGGTTATTCCTGCATTTATCGGTATATTATGGCATTTTTTATATGCTCGTTAAAATCCCTTTAGTTTTACTTGACAAACATTTAAACAATTACATGTAAAACATGTAGAAAATAAAACAAACGAGAGTAGAGCTTAAGGGACTCGATCATAGACAAATTCCTGACCTGGTATGTAAAGATTGGGAATATTCCTGTGAAAAGTAAACCTTTTTCTCGTTAAGAACTACCAACTTTTTACAAAAAAATAGATTTTCTTTTCATGACTAAACATCATTTTGTGTTACGCATGCAAAAAAAAACAACAACTATGTACGAAAGACCGGTGGTGACATTTCACGTTCACGAATTCATGATTTCAAGATTTTAATATTCCATTATTTTAGAGTGAAATATTGAATTTTTAAATCGTGAATTCATGAATTCGCGATTTCATAATTTCACGATTTCTCTTAAAAACCTGAATAAATGAAATAATGAAATCGTGAATTCATGAATTCATAATTTCATTTTTTAAGTAAATCGCGAATTCATGAATTTTATGACTGTCGAATCTTGTGGCTGTCTGTTTGAACAAGTAATAACGATCCAAAAATAGTTGCAAGATATTTTCTACAAATCGTTGAGAATTTAGGCGCCATTATTCCAACTTTAATTGGTAGTGATCGAGGCACAGAAAATGTAATAGTTCGTCAGCTACAGATATTTTTCAGACAAGGCCATGTTGATGCCCATTCATGAGGAAGAAACTTTTTAGTGGGCAAAAGTACTTCAAACTAAAGGATAGAGTCTTTATGAGCAATGTTACGCCGACAAGGCATGGATTTCTGGACCAACTTATTTAAAGATATGCGTTGCACAGGTCTTTATAATGATGCAGATATTTTTCATCGACAATTTTTATTATATTGTTTCATGCCAGTTATTTCACGGGATCTACAAAATTTTATGACAAGAGTGGAACTTGCATCAGTTGCATGACATTTAATCTTGTTCAAAGGAATGTGGTCCTCAAGGAAAAACTGAGATATTGTTAACCATACCCGAGTTGAAAAAGAAGAAAAGTTATCACCACAATGTTCACCATGGTGATATAGACATTTATTACCCTTCCAGATTTTTTCCGCCTTTTTGATTGGATATTGATCACCCGAGAGAAATTGATATAACCGAGCCAGACGGGTAATATACACACTAAATTTCCCCGTTGGGTACCGAACGTTGTAAACAACATGCGCTGAGGTGATGCGCGTACGGTTCGATTTTACGCGGTGTAAATTCCGATTTACAAGCACTTTTTAACTGTCAAATGATAAATATTTACCAAAGAAGAGTAATGATACATATTCCCATCAGTATTAAAAAGAAATATGACATTGTGAAAGCTTGATATTAATTACAAAAAAGTGCGTTCAATAGACTACTCCTTTTCTCTTGTTTACATTCGTTAGGTACGGGAAAATTACGTCATGTACTTATGTGACGTCATGTTGTGATGAAGAGGTACCCTAAAGGGAATCTTATTTCGACGTTTCATTTGAAACAGCAATGATTTTTTAAAACATCGTCTAAACTCGGCAGGGGAAGGGTAATAAAATTATTATTTTGGTTTTGGAGTGATATATGTGGATATATTACCTACCAAGATAAAATATCACCCTCGCCTAACGGCTCGGGTGATATAAAATCTTAGCAGGTAATATATCCATATATATCACTCCAAAACCCAAATAACATATAATGTAAAAACATTATATACGCGGCAACCAAAAACGTCGGGCTGTTTGCCTGAATTTATTACCTTGTTTAATTTGATAAGTTTTAACGGTAGGGTGGAACTGCAGATGAATGCTGAAGCTGCTTTTAATCTTTATATATCTATCATATAATTTATTGATCGAATGTAACAATATAAATGTTCATCTTTACAAAATTTATGTTTATGTTGATAATGTATTTAATATTTTAGCTCTCTTGTACTTAGGTGCAGGGTAAGCGTTTGTGGCAACTTTTGTCCGTCGTAATAGTATGTCTTTTATTCGTTAAACAGTTTTTATTAAATTTAAAGCACACTTAATAGCGGTTTTAGTCTTGTTATGACTTTGTCGAAAAATGTTTCACTCTCTTTTTATGATTTTGGTAACTCTTTAATATATCGTATCTTATATATTTAGTAAATATTCTGGTAAAATACCACGAAATATTTGACAAAAAATAAAATAGGTAGCCACACAACATGAGTATATCTGAAAATTTCATACTAAAAGTCACTTGTAGCCAAAAAAACTTTTGAGCCTTGCAGAACGCTTCTGGTTTTGACATCAAATATTGTCCCTACACTTTTACTAGCAGTTTTGGACATGTCCTGTTCAGGTAATTTACCGTAATGTACTTTTATGCCTAAACAAAATATTGTGCTCGAAACATTTGGATTAACGACTATTCTTGCATCATAATAAAGTATAAAAAGTATTATATGTATCATTGACAAAAATTTGTTGTCTCATTATAATGTGCACAACAGTTGGTAACGTAATTTAGTTTCAGGGAACAAAGCAACTATATATTCGTTTATAAAGCATAATAGTACTTTGTAATATTGATTTTACTATTTTTCAAGACATATACATGTGTAATTCAAAACCTTAGAATTTGTTGTTTTTTTTCTGAATGTTTCACAAATCTTCAAACCTTCAGTTTAGGGCTTTCATACATACATACATACATACATACATACATACATACATACATACATACATGATCACTACCGCACAAAAAGTACTATCACTTTGTAAAAAATTTATCCAATGTCATCGAAAAAGATTTTACATTTTGGCCAACAACAAACGCATTTAGGGGCTTAAAGTCGTTATTAAAATGCTAAAAATCCATCTAAAGGTTTTTATTATATTTTGGACATAAAGCAAACAGCGTGACATCTGACAGACGTTAACATAAAAAGTTAAAATGTAATTATATTTTATCATTTATATACTGTTTATCATGACTACCATAAAAGTAAAATCTAGTGATATTTAATATTAATCATCTTGAAACAAGGCTGCATTAGCAAATGCCATTCCACCGCATGTCAAGCATCAAAGAACACATTAACTAAATGATTAACACTATGAGATAACAATGGAGTCAATAGACAAAGACCAGTCGTTGATTAGTCAGAATTATTTTATCAGTTGTAAAAATAAATCATATTTCAGGTAATTCAGATTATTTTCTAAGTAACCCTTTATAACACAGCTTTTAGACAGAGTAGTTGCCTTGAAAAACCGAGTTCTTAACCATTCGGATTTATAGACCGGTCACACAAATTATCAGAAACCGAGTGGATTTGAAAACCCTTCATAAAATATTTTATAATAAAAAGTGAACACAAATACATCTAAACATTAACATTTAAATAGCAATATCAACTTTAAAATTGAGATATATATGGTGGCATTTTTCTGCCATCAGATAACCATATAACTAACTAGTTAATTAAGAGGTTAACTAGTTACGTAACTAGTTAACCTCTTAATTTGCTAGTTAGTTATGTGGTTAACTAGATACGTAACTAATTAATTTTTTCAATAAATAAATAAAAGATCATAACGGGAAATGAATGCATGTTAGTTCCTACAACTGCCATCCTTTTATTATTTTACCACCTTAATATTATGAGGTTAACTAGATATGTATCTAATTAACCTCCTAACTAACTAGTTAATTAATTAAGAGGTTAACTAGTTACGTTACTAGTTAACCTCTTAATTTACTAATTAATTAAGAGTTAACTAGTTACGTAACTTGTTAACCTCTTAATTAACTAGTTAATTAAGTGATCGATATTCTCATAGTCAAGCTAAAATGTCATATGAATGTGATTAAACCACTAGGTATTACAAAAGACTTGCAGCATCTGCTACAATTTTCCTGCAAGTGTTGCAGCTTAACAACAATGTCAATAGCACTTGGTCTTTTTGTCAAATCATACATTAAACATTTCTTGACAACTTCAATAACTGCATCTGGAAATTCTGCCCCTCCTTGTAGATAACTCAGGCCATGGGGCTGCATCCCTTTTTTCATGTTTTCTTCCAGTATTTTAGTACCCTCACTATCAGAGTCATCATTATCATCATCCCCTCCATCATCAATATTCCAGATTTCTTTTCCAGTATCACCCAGTCCAGGTTCAACATTCCCTTTAAAATGTTTTTCAACTTCACTCTTGATATATGCATAAGTAGATTCATGCTTTTTCAGTCTAATTTCGTGTACTCCACCTTTTTCTTTATTTGATAGTCTGCGAGTGCCCGACATTGACCTCACTTTGCAGGCGATTTTTATTGTCATTTCTTTATCTTGCTCAGGCTGAAAAATCAAAATATCAATACAATGCATCGTATATGAACATATTGGGTATTATTTCAGGAGCATACTGATATTTATAAGAGAGCATTGATGACTCAATAGTGTTAACCTGAGTCCATCTGCAATAATATCGGCAACAAACTATGATAAACTATCAGTCTTAAAGAAAATTACGATCAATTGTACTTTTCATATTTTACTCTCTGAAATGGTGATTTAGTTTTCACTGTAGCGATCATTTGACCAAGACCTGATGACAATTGCAGAGTTTATGATAAATACAAGGTTATTTAAAAAATTGACATAGTGTCCTAGTTTTGGGTCTGACATGACCATATTCAAATTAATCTATTAGGCATGAATGGTAAATCATTTTGACAAAGTTTCATTGAGATGACAAAGAAATTTTAGTTTCTGGATAAATTTTAGTCAATATGATAAACAAGATCAACAAGGAAAGGCGGCGTTCAATGAACGCAACCCCCACATGACCCAGCAACAAGAACCAGTGGCAAGGAGCCCAGGCGGACCCCAACAAAACAGGACAGGGCACAAGGCAGAGCACGGACAGGCTAATCACCAAAACGACAAACAACCTGTAACCGACAAGGAACTCAAAGAGGACAAGCAATTGAGGGAACAAAAGGAAATAATAAGGTTTATGTAAGATTTAGCTTGTGTTTTTTCATCACACATAAATTCAGACTATTCTTTTTTCCTAGATCAGTGATCACATGTGTCACCTGCCGATAGCAAATTAATTATGGGACAATTTTCTTTTTTAATTCAAAAGCCATAACTCAGCTTAACTTAATCACCTAATTAATGAGTTAAACATGCTCGTGTACTTGAGGTATCAATAACATACCAACTCGTTTTAATTCAAACTGACCCTATAAGCTTCAGATCAAGGAAAAAGATGTATACATAGGTAAGATATAGGCAACACATTCTCTTTATTCTCGAGGCAAAATCTCAACATTGCATCATCTTAGATGACCCTGACCTCTGACCCAGTGAACTGGCTCGTGTGCATGACAATTCATGTCATATGAAGTTCCTCCATGAACAAAGAAGTTATGGCATGGGTAACTTCTGATTAACACATACACTGAATAGCCACTTTGAAAACTATCTCGAGCTCAGTGACAGCGGGCTTGAAAAAATCCTCTGATCACTATACATAATATTTTAAAGTACAAAATGTATAAGCAAGATACAGTGCCAATAAACACAATATTGTTTTGCGAAACCCTCCGTCTTACTATTGAGATTATTTGTCCCAAGTTATTTTTAAATCTCTCTACGCATGTAGGATTTACACTTGGGTCATGGGTTAGCGCTGACTCCCAAGTGTGACCTTGGCCTTTGAGCAGCAGATCTGGGTGTTGTATTAGATATACCACCACATCATGGTGAATATTTGGTTTCAAAATTTGTTCTCCTTTAAAGAAAGACAAAATATAGACGGGACAAAGCAGGACGGACGCTAAGATGGACGTCCTTAAATTTTGGTTTTATGTGAGTGACTATTCTTTTGTTCTGAAAAGACACACAAACCAAAACAAGAGGGCCATGATGTCCATATCTCGCTCACCTGTTTCATCTGACCTTTGGCTTTTGTCATGGCCAACCTCCTACCAAGTTTATGATTGTCAAATTTAATTTGACCCCGGGGTCATGATTTGAACAATTTTGGTAGAGGTAAAAATCAAGTGGCCCCTGTGCCAAGGTCAATTTGATCCCGGAAGTCATGATTTCGACAATCTGGGTAGAGGTCCACTTGTCAATGCTACATGCAAACATCTAAGCTCTGGGCCTTGGGATTCTTAAGAAAAAGATTTTTCTAAGATTTTCCTATATAATTCTATGTAAAATCAAGTGGCCCCTGTGTCAAGGTCGATTTGACCCCGGGGCTCATGATTTGAACAATCTTGGTAGAGATCCACTAGTCCATAGGGTGAAAAATAGGGTGGGATTATCAAAAATATGAGTGAACCCCCATCCCCCTCCTAGAATTGTCACTGAGGATGCGAGTTCGAAACGTAGATCTAGCTCCGATTACATTTTTTTCTTTCTTTTGTAAACCCCACAAAAAACCACCCCCTCTTTTAATCGACCCAACAAAAATAATCCCCTTTAAGATTTTATTTATACTGGTGAAACCAAAAAAAGTGTTGGACTGACATAAAAAACGAGGATTCTCAGTGCGGACAGATTCTAACTTTATCGATACCTGAAAAAGGTGGCCTATGTAAATTTATGCATGATTATGAAAAATATAGTGTCAAATAAACTTAAATCTAAAGGAAGAGTACTTGCTTTTGAAAAAAAAAAATGAATTGGAACTCCTGTAACTCTCGCCACCTTTACTCTGAACGGAAAAGGCCCTAGGCGCATGCTCAAGCGTCGTGTCATACTTGACATCGTGAGTCACAACTGTGCAGATGAAATTGTGAATTCGTGAATTCACGAATTCATAATTTCACGATTTCACTTTTAAAAAATGAAATCGTGAATTCATGAATTCACGATTTCATTATTTCATTTATTTAGGTTTTTTTAAAGAGAAATCGTGAAATTATGAAATTTCATAAGTGCACGATTTCACTTTATTATTATTCACTTTCATTATTTCATTTATTCAGGTTTTTTTAAAAGAAATCGTGAAATTATGAAATCGCGAATTCATGAATTCGCAAATGCATTATTTCACGATTTCACTTTAAAAAATGAAATGGTGAATTCGTGAATTCATGATTTCACGATTTCATTATTTTATTTATTCAGGTTGTTAAAGAGAAATCGTGAAATTATGAATTCACGATATAAAAATTCAATATTTCATTCTAAAAATAATGAAATATTAAAGTCTTGAAATCATGAATTCGTGAACGTGAAATGTCACCACCGGTCTTTCGTAACTATGTTCTTGAAAATGTAAAAGGCGTCCAAACTATACCGGTCGAACTGAATATGCTATAATTGAAATGTATTTAGAGACAGAAACCCTCTGAAATTGGCTTACAACAACAAATCAATATCATTCTATATCAGTATCATAACATTCACAATTGAGACTTTAGATTAGTAGAAGTAAAATTATGAATTTGCATGTTGAGACTCAAAACCTTAATTAGGACTTTATATTAAGGATTTGCTAGTTCTACTTAGGAACTTAAAAAGCGTTATTAGGTGGTGAAAATCCTACTTAAGTTTTATACAATATACACATTAATAATGGCCCTAGGACCACTGTGTTAGGTGATCATTGATCCTGCCACGGTTGTCATGGGTTTCCTTATTATTTTATAATTTTGTTAAAACTGAAAAAAACTCCCACTTTTCATCGTGATCACATATAAGCTATAGCGTGCGAAAAAAAAAAGAAACTAAAATATTTCCTACGTTCCCTTTATGCAGCCTAACAAGTTCGGTGAGGGTCAAGTAAATTATATTCGACGACCGTTACCACTAGACCACAGAATCTTCAGACTTAGTCTATACTAAATCAGCGTCTAAAGGTAGGCTGATTTTCTATTCTATGACATTATTAAACACTTGTTGTATCTTAATTTTAGACTGTCTTAAGCTATTTATGGACACACTTACTTGAAGAGGTCACATAGTACTTTTACTTATCGTTGCATACGATTTTAAATGATAAGAAATAAATGGTGAATTTGAACTGAACATTAAGCTATACTGTAGTGACGTACATCTAAAACAATGAGGAAATTTGCGATATTGCTTATTCTTGGATTATCCTTTGTACTAACCAGTAAGTTGACTCTAATCATTTAGATGTAATTAATTAATCTATGATTATTTTTTACTTTGCCGATGGAGGACCAATTGTTTCTTACATCCCAACTGATTAAAGTACACATCTTCTGATGGCACAACGTTACGTAGGTTCTGACACCTTCCCCCAACGACAAAGGTAATCCAAAAACGCATCAACAAATCTAATATAAACGCATGTTATTTTGAATCTGACTAGGTGTTGATACTACTGTATCAATTAAAGAACTAGAATTTTACAAGTGACGACATGACTTAGTGATTAATGTGTCAGGATCTCTTCTAAGACAGACACCGTCAACAAACACACATTGCTCAGTACTGGCTGGTCCCAGAAGGTAATCGCTATTGGCCCACCGTTAGCGGAAGTACATTACGGGACACCAGTCCCAAACAGGGTCATTAGTTTGTCTTTATGCTCACAGCTTACTTCAAATCGAACTTAAGTAAATTATATATAAATTAATTAGATGTTGATTATCTCGGACTAGTTATATTATATTTGGTTTATATGTGCCATTACAGGCAGTATATGTCCTAATGGTTGGGTACGGCACGGCGGGTCATGTTACCATTTTAGCCACGACACGGAGGACTGGCCTGGTGCCACGGTAATGTCATGCCTTAACTTGATTGCTTTCACTTTGAATTATCTAGCGTATAGTTTTTCTTGTTTCTCAAACTGTTTTAAAAGTAAGTTTACAAGTACAAACAACAACAACAAATCATCCACAAAACAACAAACCCCTCCCCCCCAAAAGGGTATCTTTAATTTCATGAAAATATATCATTAAACGAACTATTGTTCAGTTATGGAAGCAGAGAAAACATACAATTAAAGGTGAAAATCAACACTCGATTGATCTTCTTGAGAAAATCAAAGGTTCAATATATTTCATTCACGTAACCGCCGGTCGAAACAATATTCAAAGAACACATTTAGCAGTTGCCATTATAAACGGGTATGTTACTTTTCAATAGTTCACTAGGACTTTCCATAATGCATTTGGTTTGTTATCAAATATATAGGTACTATATCAATCTGCTGTATATGATTTGATTAAATATAAAATGAGATAACTTCTATATTTCTCACTCTAGATAATGTGTGAAAGGATGGGTGGGAGTCTCGTAGAGATTGATGACGCAGTAGAAGATAAATATCTCTATTCGCAGGTCCGAGTGTTTAAACGTACGTATGTTGTCTGACCATGTTTTTTTATTTACCAAGCTTTATTGAATCCATCAACGAAAATATATAGCGCATATTTCACCCCTTATAAAATGTAATAAAAAAACTTCCAGCGTTTGCGCCATCAAAAATGATTCTTATCATTTTAACCTCGTTTTCATTACATGAGTCCAGAAATTACATAATTATCATAACTATATTGAACTCAATCTAGCCTCGTTTTAATTTTCAGGGTCTAAAAATTCAATATCAAATACACATTGACTTTGTACTCCATCAAACCTCGTTTTCATTTTCCGAGTCCAAAATATCAAATATATTATATATATATTGTTTTAGAAATGACTGTCATTGTCCATTGTTGAATACAATACTGAGTCTAATGGACTTGTACACATCTTCAAACCCTATATTGGATAATCCTTGTGTATCATCCAATATAGTTTTGATAGGAGTGTACTCTTCCAATATAATTCAGTTTTCTACTCAACAATGTTTAATAACCTCTTATTCACTTCACTCTTTTTTAAAGTTTGTTATTGATAATAAAATAACATTTTTCTTTCTTTTTTTTACATCACGTAAACAAAGCAATACAATATTAGTTATAAAGATCGTTGACAGGTTATATGGCCCTATATAAACCGCTATTTGTAAATATAACACGAGCCGTTAGGCGAGGGTTATATTGCAAACAGCCGTTTATATACGGCCATATAACCTGTCAACAATCTTTATAACGAATTTATAATACAGCAAGCATCATTTTTAGAGAAAAAGAGTGAGATTTCTTCATGAATCGACAGCAGCCGTGTATATAAAACTATATAAACGTCACAATTATCCAATGAAAAATGACGTTACAAACGTGCAGTATTATAATAGCCGACAATCTAAAGAAAGGAAATTGTTTATGTTTTAGAAGCATACTGGATTGGTTTGTCTGACGTCATGGAAGAAGGAAGCTGGGTATGGATGATAACAAACCGGCCGGTAGAATCCGGTGTATACACTAACTGGATACCTGGGCAACCGGACAACAATCATAGTAATGAGAATTGTGCCGAAATATGGCCAACTAATGGTCAGTGGAACGATGGACAATGTCATGTTCCACATAATTACATTTGTGAAAAAACTGACGAGTATGTATACATTCGTAATAGCTTGAACAAATGAAAAACCTTGTAGCATTTCTCTGTTTCTATGGTTAATTATATTCTTAATTGTTTACAATAACCCTTTAGATCGCAATTTTCAATTTTATTTCTTAGTATATTTATTTATAATCTATATAAGAACTATTTTTCCGTTGTTTGTTTTACTCCCAGTTTATTTCTGTAAGAATCTAAAATTTTATGTTTTTAATTTATTTGGCTGCAGTGGAGCTCCTTTCTGAAAATGTCACGTGACTATTTCACAACGGGTTGATCTATATACAATGTATATTGCGTAACTGCGTCATTAGCGACCACATTGAAGAAATCTAAGTTATTGTACATAATTTTAAGAACGTAATTACACAGAATATAATTGTTCACAATAACTTTGAAGATTGCATATATATTGTAAATAGTAAATATCAGTTAATCTTGCTACTAGGTCTGAACATTGTTAAGAAACGACACCTGAAGGTAAACAAATGTTAGTATACGCTTTGAAGATTTAAATAAACACCATTTATAACGTCTATACATATTATCAATGTTGCCTATATATAACCATTATATTATTGAATGAACCTAAAGTTGTTTTTTTTTCAGGCAGAGTTCGATAATTGGTTGACCTCTATGGAGGCTATTCGTTGCCAAAAATCCAGCCTTTGAAACTTGACAATGCATACTTCGGTGTAATATGTCACAACTTTAGTGATCTAAATATTAGTATCGTATTTTAAAGATTCTGTTTTATTGAATTCTAACTGATTATATGAACTTGAATATAAAGATATTTTGAAATATAATAATATCTTTACACAGCAATGTGCTTTCAAAATTTGTATATATTTAGGTCCGAGTGGGAGCATCTCTGAAGTTGAGTCAGAGTGGGAGCATTTTCCATTTTTATAAAAAAAGAAGAAAAACTGACTTCTAAATAGAAATATTTGAAACAAATCTAGAATAATGGGTAAACATGACTCGGTTTATGTTCCGGTACGTTAAAAATAATTTTCAAGAAGGTTTTCAACCTTATTTCATATATGTTTCGAGTGGGAGCATACAGAGAAAAACACTTATCCCGTTTTCAGGCCAAAACCAGGCAATAAATCTATAAACTTTTTTTACAATTATCTAAAGTATTATAGTTATTCTTTGGTGCGCTACATGATTTTTTAATACTCTTACGTTTTCTTATAATAAAATTGTATTTTACCTTCGAGTCGACGAAAACATGGTCCAAATGGGAGCATTCAGCAGGTGCGCCATGACGTAGTATCCTACCATTGTGAAATACTAGAGGACTATCTCGTTGAAACCAGAATATATATAACATTAAAAAATTCTAAAACTAGAGGAGGTAACTCTTTAAATAAAAATGAAATTTTAAACCTTGTTATACATGATAAGAATGATGACACAAAACAGTTATCTTTAATAGATACTATTTATATAATAAAAAAAATCATGATTTTCAAGTATAATAACAATCAAATGATAAATTACCAAGTTATAGGCAATTATAGCGATAACCAGTAAAACTTAAATAGTGTGACCTAAAGGCCAAGGTCATATATGAGTCAAGGTCAATTTGATATACATGAGGGTCCTGACCTAAATGGTGTTGTGTCTAAAAATGAAGTTAATCCATTTATTAATAACAAATTTATAACCAGTTCCACTTTGACGGTTTTGTCTCACTCTTTGGGAGGAAGGTCTGTCAGTGCGTCAGTGGTCCTATGGGAAGTAACTCTTGGGGGAGGAATAAGGTCCGTTAGAGTACACTCTCCTGCTTATAGCAAACAATCGGAACACCTCGGGCGACTTCAAGAATTCCGAACTTGACGGAGATTGCCGAGTTGTTACGATTGTATAGCAAAATGACCATTCGGAACTGCTTCGGCTATTATCTATCCTTATCCGAAGACTGACGGAAAGGGCCGAGAAGTTGCGATTGGCAAAATGACGTCAGTGGTCCTAAGGGAAGTAACTCTTTGGATAGGAATAGGGTCTGTTAGAGTGCACTCCCCTGCTTATTGTAAATTGAGTTAGTGGGTATAAGGGAAGTAACTCTTGTGGGGAGGAATAAGGTTTGTTAGAGTGGATTCCCCTGCTAAATGTGTGCCAAAGGGAAGTAACTCTTGTGGGGGAGGAATACAGTCTGTTAGAGTAAACTTCCCTGCTTAATGCAAAATGGCGTCAGTGGTCCAAAGGGAAGTAACTCTTAAGGGAGGAATAAGGTCTGTTAGAATGCACTTCCCTGCTTTGCAAATGGCGTTAGTGAACAAAGGGAAGTTACTCTTGTTGGTAAGATAAAGATCTGTTAAAGTGCTCTCCCCTGCTTATTGCAAATGGCGTCAGTGTGCCAAAGGGAAGTAACTATTGTGCGGAGGAATAGTCAGAGTAAACTCACCTGCTTAATGCAAAATGGCGTCAGTGGTCCTAAGGGAAGTAACTCTTTGGAGAGGAGTAAGGTCTGTTAGAGTGCACTCCCCTGCTTTAAGCAAAATGGTGTCAGTGGTCCTAAAGGAAGAAACTCTTTGGGGAAGAATAAGGTCCGTTAGAGTGCACTCCCCTGCTTATTGCAATGGCGTCAGTGTGCCAAAGGGAAGAAACTTTTTGGGAAGAATTCAGTCAGAGTAAACTCCCCTGCTTAAAGCAAAATGGCGGCAATGGCCCTAAGGAAAGAAACTATTGGAGGGATAAGGTCTGTTAGAGTACACCCTTTCTTATTGCAAATGACCTAAGTGAGCCAAAGGGAAGTAACTCTTGTTGGCAGGATTAAGATCTGTTAGAGTGCACTCCCCTGCTTATTGCAATGGCGTCAGTGTGCCAAAGGGAAGAAACCAGTCTGAGTAAACTCCCCTGCTTAAAGCAAAATGGCGGCAATGGTCCTAAGGAAAGAAACTCTTGGGGGGATAAGGTCTGTTAGAGTGCATCCCCTTGCTTATTGCAAATGACCTAAGTGGGCCAAAGGGAAGTAACTCTTGTTGGTAGGATTATTTCTGAGGATGTAACGCCATATGCACTCCCCTACTTATTGCAAATGGCGTAAGTTGGACAAAGGAAATAACTCTTGTGGGGAGGAATATGGTCTGTTAGAGTTAACTCCCCTGCTTAAAGCAAAATGGTGTCAGTGGTCCTAAGGGAAGTTACTCTTGGGCGAGGAATACCGTCTGTTAGTGCATCCCCTGCTTATTCCAAATGGTGTTAGTTGGCTAACAGGAACTCGTGGGGAGGAATACGGTCTGTTAGAGTAACCTCCCCTGCTTATAGAAAAATGAAATCGGTGGTCCTAAGGGAAGTAACTCTACGGAAAGGAATTAGATCTGTAAGAGTGCACTTCCCTGCTTATTGCAAATGGCGTTAGTGGGCCAAAGGGAAGTTACTCTTATGGGGGAGGAATACAGTCTGTTAGTGTACTCCCTGCTTTTTTGCAAATGGTGTTAATGGACTAACGGGAAGTTACTCTTGTGGGAAGAATAACGGTCTGTTAGAGTGCACTGCCCTGCTAATAACTAAATGACGTCAGTGGCCCAAAGGGAGTTCACTTTTGGGAGAGGAATAAGACCTATGAAAGTGCACTCCCCTGCTAATTGCAAATGGCGTCAATAGTCCCAAGAAAAGTAACTCTTGGGGAGGAATACGGTTTTTAGAGTAAAGTTCCCTGCTTATTGCAAATGGCGTCAGTAGTCCCAATAGAAGTAACTCTTTGGGTTGGAATAAGGTTTGTTACAGTGCACTCCCCTGCTTACTGCAAATGGCGTTATTGGGCCAATAAGAAGTAACTCTTATGGGGAGAAATACGGTCTGTTAGAGTAAACTCCCCTGCTGATTGCAAAATGGAGCCAGTGGACAGATAAAGTCTGTTAGAGTGCACTCCCCAGCTTATTGCAAATGGCATTAGTGGGCCAAAAGGGAAGTTACTCTTGGGGGGAGGGATAAAATCAATTAGAGTGCACTCCTCTTCTTATAACTAAATGACATTATTGTATTAAGGGCATTAGGAAATAAATTTTGGGATAAGTGTGATCAGCCCCTTATAATTTCGAATTATATTAATGGATCAAATGAACTAATTCATGAGACAAAATCTATTTTAAAATGTTTATATGGTGTTGAATGCATGTTTGCAAACTTTCTTTAACTTGGATCAGGGGTGGGAAGAAGACATTGAATATAACTACTTTCTTTTCTGCATTTCTGCAGTTTTTCTGTCTTTTTATTCTATCAGTATTTATCACAGTTTCCACATAAGTATAATATTATAAAACAAGAGCAGACTATAGAACACCTTCCTATACTTTCAGTATTCCCTGTATGCAAAAGTGTTATAATAATAGGCCCTTAAAAACTGTACTTGATGAGTTAATCTGACCAAGTTATATGCTTTTCTTACACAAATTACATATTTTCATACTGAAATTGCTTGAAAATGGACAATTCCAAATTTTAAGCTGGCAATAACTTTATAATATGCAATTTGTCTTACTCTTTATTAAAATAATTTAATAAATGAATAAAGAAAACAGTGAATAAAGTATTAACATTAAATCAAAATGTCCCAATAATTGTGTGTATCTATGACAAAAATATTTTAAGCAAATAAAAAAGGGCGTCATCATCTTGTTTTTCAGTCATCTGCCCTTTAATTTGAACTTTTTGCTTATCTCAAGGGCAGATATTTACTAATCGAAGTTTGCAAGGTATTACATTTTCTGGTTTTCCTGTAGCAGAGTGATTCTGCAATATCATAATAATTGGAAGCAGCTATTTTTTCAACTTGTTTTCTTAAAGCTTTGCCGATTCATTTAAAAATGGACATTTTTAAACTCTGTGACTGAGGATAAAATGAAAAATATAAACCAATAGTAAAATTAAAATTTGTAAAGCTGATGGAAAAATCATTTGCCCATGGATTGACCTGAAATAACAAATTCAAGGTCAGTAAACTCGAGTGACCCTCAAATATTTTTAGCTTAAGGCCCATTGTGCCTCAGTAATGCTTTCAGTTTTTATTTCAGTTTTGTTTTGCAGTTTGGCAATTAGTATAAGTTAATCAGTACTTTTTAAAGGTGTCAAAAAAACTACATTGTATACATTTGGCTATCTTTATTACAAGTTATTTCACATTCAGCAATATTACCTTCAGATGATTTGCATCTTTCATGGTCTAAATCTATTATTACAATATTATAAAACACATATTTACCCTTTTTACAGAGAGAAAAAAGATTATTTCTGAGACTTTATGTGCATTAAATATATTTATTTTTTTATTTTCACTAAAGTAAAGATGTTTTACCCTTAGCCTGCTGGTGGCAACATATTTTACCCATAATACCTGGGCAGACAAGACCAGGCGAAACATCAAGTACCGTCTAATTGTGGTCTGCACTGGTCTATATCAGTCAGTGCATGTTTTAAATTTTCCCTCAAAATGATAAATGGTCTCATCAAACAAGTTAATTTCATATATTTAGCATACCAGAGGTTAAAAAAAATGTTTATAATTTTATATCTTATTTAATCAAATTAAGAACAATATGATTAAATTGTGATTTTTAAGTTGATAATATTGATTATCAAATATAAGTACACTGTATATTAAATCCAGAGGAGATATTTTAAGAATTTTTAAATGTTATCAGGTAATGAAATTTTAGCTATTTTTTTACATTTATATAAGAACATTGACAGTAACTGCAACATGACAAAGGAAATAAAATAAACAACCTTTAGTTTAGGGAAGAACAGTCAGCTTTTAAAAAAATTTAGTAAAACATTTTATCATAAGTAATTTTCATAATGTTTAAGTACT